TCTATTTATAGAGAAAAGAAGTCCTTTTTTCAAGCTTTCTGATAATTAAGTTCATCCCAGGATCTCTCTATAATCAAAATAAATGAGTCCACTCTGGGCTGGCCTTGAGTGGGCATATGACAAAAACAGACACTAAAAAGTGTTTCTTATTTCAAGATGGCATAAACAACAAAGTGCAGTTAACTGATCAAGAAAAAAGTCTCTACCAAAATCAAGTAGACCAGCTATGAAGCCTAGTTCTACTACTCATTAGCTAAGTGGCTAAAGAAAAGTAGTTTGAGTAACAGACATTGTCCTTCTCTAAAAGGGGATAATAGAAACTCTCGCAGGAAGGTTATGAGGATGGCATAGCATGTGGTGAGCAAGTATAGTTATTAGGCCTTATTATTAACATTGTCATTGTTATTAGGATTTTTACCTAAGGTGCCGAAGAAGTCATTGCCTAAGAAAGGAAATCCAGGTCTGTTGGCCAGAACAATCATCCTAAAGTCAGGATGAATCACTACAACATTTTCTCTTCCATTCACATTAGCAGAATCTGAAAAACAAAATTTTTATTTACTCTTTATTGATATTTAATAATTCTTAAGAATACTGATTTATAGGGCTTAACATAAATAGTCATAGGGTTTAATGTCTTTTACAATAAATAACATTGTAGAAAAACAAACTTTCTTGAGAAATCTTGCTCAGGAACAGGATATTGACAAAACATGTGCTGAATTACATAGTGTTATGGATTGTCTTTAGACGCTCCCCCAGAGCCTTGTGCATAGGTGGGGCTTTCTCAGAGGTGGCTGAATCTAGAGTGTGTGAGTGATTCATGGTGCAATGCTAGGATTAAGGGTGGGTGACTACTCAACAGGTATACTGATTGGGTTGGCACTGTGCGAATCCCAGTATCCTGGATATAATAAAAGGAACAGAAAGAGGCTTCTCTCCTTGTTTGCTTTGCTACTTTCGTTTGCCATGAACTGGTCCTACTCTCTGATGCCTATGTGCCACCCAACCTGCCTTGGAGTCAGCTAATTACAGACTGAAACCTCTACAAACTATAAGATAAAAATACCACTCGTTCTTAAACTTTGGTTATCAGTTATTTTGTCTTAACAAAGAGAGAACAGTTACTAAGACACACACCGGAACTTGCATATTTATGTACATTCAACATAAATCTAAAAAGGAAACTTGGGCGACATGGCTCTCTGGGAGAGTGCTTGAATAGCATGTGTAAGACCCTGGGTTTGACACTCACTACTGAACAAACAGGTACACTGTGCTAATGTCTTAAGAGTACTTAAATCTGAATTGAGATGTAATCATTATTTTTAAAACTTTTTAAAGATTTTTAAATGATAACATAATCCAAAGAACACCCAAAAGATAATTCCCAGTGGACTTTCGTTTTTCATCAGCTGCAACCCTTGGTATAGAGGTTTCCATTATGTAGTGTAAGAAGCCTTTCCTGTTTAAAAATCACCCTTCCTATAACCTAACTACATACAATCAAGGTCTTAAATTCTAATTGATTCATTAGCAAAACACTGATTTATTTGCAACTAGGGTATTCTAATATAGTTCTTAAAATAAGTGATGTCAAGTTGGCTGGAGCTAAATGCTTAAAGTATTAAAGAAATGGAGAATTACAATTTACTGACTAATGTATATTACAACCAGAATGGCTAGTTCAGACAATGATTTTGGCCAAAAAAATTTTACTATGTTTATTTTAAGAACAACCATTTGCCATCTGGGTTTTTTAAAACTCAGCCTTAGGCTATCCACCTTTAAAACACGAAGGCTATGATACACCTGCCATTTTACTTGAGATAAGAACCTACAGTTGTAACTTCTTTATATCAAACAGCAATCTTTAAGCTGTTTCATACTCATGTGCTAATACAAATATAGTTTTAACTTTTGGTCCCACTTAATTTTAGTAGTGTGAAAAGCAAAACTATTTGATCAAAGGCAAAATTTAATTAACTGATTACAGCAGATATAATAAAAATGAAAATCTTATTTTAAAAAAAGTAAAGAAAATGAAAAATACCTAAAATTAATTGTTTACAAAGCTCTGTTAAGAGAGGATCAACCAAGACGGCAGAGTGGTAAGTAGCAGAGAAGGAGCTTCTCTGAGTGCTGTCATCCAGATACTGCAATATAGGAACATGAGGAAGACAAGTGGGAGGGAGGTGGGTCCTGTGGGCCCAGGAAGGACTTGCATCTCAGCAAATTGAAGCCAACAGAGAGAGAGAAGGGAGAAATTTCAGTGAAGAGGTGGAAGTACTGGCTATGCCTTCTACCTGAAATGGAATTCAATGCACAAGAAGAGTGATGCAAACTTGTGGACTCGTGGAGACTGCTGGTGAGACCCCAGATGCCTCCACAGAGATGCAGCAGTAGAGGAGAGCAGTATTCATAAAGGAATGCATTAGATGGTATTACATGCTGGGGGCTCAGTCTTCCAGGGTGAGAGATTGGCCAGGAGTCATCTTTGAGAGGGGCTGGTTGAGCTCAGAACTCAGAGTGGCTGTGGGCTCCATCTAGCAGCTCCCAGGTGCATTCAGGCTTTTAGAAGATGCTTTGACAGCTGCAGGCTGAATGAGTCTGGTCTCAGCCAAAAGGTGCAGGCTTGCTGAGATTATCTACTACCCTTCCAAAAACCTACTGCTGGCTTTCTGGGATAGGTGGGCACAGACTGGGACTCTGTCTCCACACATCAGTCTACCAATGATAGCAGAGAAAACATGGAAATGGACTTTTCTTTTTTTGCTCTTATTTTCTGATGTGCTGATTTTGTATTTATTCTTTTCTTCTTCTTTGTTCCATTTTGTTTTTATAGGAGTAAGAACATAGTTTTGAATTTCTTTGTGATGGGGGTGTGTGGGAGGGCGGAAGGAATTGAACTCAGGACCTGTATTTACCTGGCAGATGCTGTGCAGCTGAGCTGTATCCCCGGCCTCTCTCTGTAATTCTTGTTCTGTTGTTCTTTTTATCTCTTCCATCTCTCTTTACCTCTAGTCTTCTGTACCAATTTCCCAAAGTTAGCTCAATCCCCCTTTGTCCTCCAGCCTTAGTTCTAATCTCTTCCACTTCTTCTACATCTCTACTTTTCCCTAGCCTCTTTCACATTTTAACTTCTGTGGATAAAACTGATGCATTAAGAACTTACATACTGCATGAAATTTTCTGATCTGTTTTAGATTTTGTTAAATAACTGCAAATCTAGTTGATATGGTTAAAAGTGGAAAATTAATGATTACCTCAGTTTGTCACTTTCTAGGCTATAACTGTTGCTATGGTTATAGGCAAAAGTGACATAATTTTGGCTATAACAGTTCTAAATGGCTATTCAATCTGGTCTTCCAAGACTAAAGTTGACTAAGAGTCATAGAAAATATTATGGCACAGTATTTTCTCAACCCTAACAAGTTGAGGATATAGGATCTTGCAACAGACTCAAAACCCAAAAATCAGATATACCTGGAAGATACCATAGAGAAGTAGTCATTTCCTAAGAATTCTAAACACTAGCAATAAAGCAACCCACCAAAAAAGTATTACCCCAGGAATTAGACCAAAACATGAAAAGAAACTAAGAAGATATTTAAACAAGATGCAACCCCAGACATCCACTTCACCAAGGGGAAACTTAGGGAGCAATAAGGTACAACAACTGAAAGCCATCCCCTGGCTTCTCTGAAGCCAGCCAGCCTCTTTGTTGTGGTAACAACAACAAAGAAATTGAATGAGGCTCTAGAAAAAGTCAAATCAGAAATAATTTCAGATCATTGCAGAATTGGTTACCACAATGAAAACCACGCTTAGTGACTCACAAGCAAATACAGACAAAAAAAATAGAGGAGATTAAGAAAAGTATGGAGGCCATGAATGGTCAGTATAGGAAAAAAAAAATATGGAATCCATAGGGCAGATTCAAGCAGATATGCAGAATAAAAGTTCCACTGAAATTATCTGCAGCAGATTATGTCAACTGAAGACAGGATCTCAAATATAGAAGACAGGCTTGCAGATAGCAACTGTAAAAGGAAAGATTTCTTTAAATAAGAAGGGGAGGGGGCTGGGGATATGGCTCAGTAGAATAAGCGCTTCCCTGGCAAGCGCAAGGGCCTGAGTTCAAGCCCCAGTTCTGCCAAAAATAAATAAATAAATAAATAAATTTAATTTAATAACAAAGGACCATGAGAAATTAATTCAGCAGCTGCTAGATGAGGTAAAAAAAAAAAGAATAACTTAAGACTGATTGGATAAATGAAAAAGCAGGAAATAGCACAAATGATAAAAAAAATTAAAAAAAAAAAAAAAAAAAAAAAAAACCTCTCAAACATCATGGAAATTCCCTGGCATGGAAAAAGAATTTGACATACAATTAAATTAGGCATATAGAACTTCAATTAGTCATGATCAAAAATCTATAGCCAGGCATATCATAATCAAGAATCCAGAAATTCAACACAAGAATAGAATATTAAAAGTTGTTAGAAAAAAAAAAACTCAAATCACCTATAAAGTAAAGCAAATCAGAATCACAGCTGACTTCTTAGCATAAACCCTAAAGTCAAGGACAGCTTAGAGTGAAATACTTCAAACTCTAAAGAAAAACAACCTTCAACCCAGAATGATATACTTCACAAAACTATCTTTCAAAACTGATGGTGAAATAAGATATTTCTATGACAAACAACATCTGAAGAAATTTATAACCATAAAACCAACACTCCAAACTATTTTGAAGGTCATTCTAGAAAAAGATAATGAGAACTACAATTCCATGAACCACAACAGAAGGAATCCACCAGTCAAGGCTACAATTAAACAGAAGAAGAGAAAAAAGTAGGGAAGTCAACAAAAGGGATAACATGACAAGGATAAGTTAATATATATCTGTTACAACTCACAATATTAATCATCTTGATTCACCAACTAACAGACAAAAACTAGCAGAATGGATCACAGTGTAACCCACAACAATATGCTGCATAAAAATACATTTAATTAAAAAAGAAATTCACAGACTGAAAGTCAAAGGATGGAAAACCATACACTATGTCACAGGAACTCAGAAAAAAGCAGGAGTAGCTCTTCTATTTGCATACAAAATGAATATCAAGTGAAAACTGATTGAGAGGTAAAGGTCACTACAACCTTGTAAAGGGAACAATCCAAGAGGAGGAAAGAACAATCATCAATATATATGCAACAAATATCAGTGTACCCAACTCCATAAAACAAGTCCAGCTTGAAAAATGAAATAAGCACTAACAGAATTCTAGTAGGAGACTTCAATATCCCACTGTTACAAACATCGATTAGACCAAAAAAAAAAAAAATCAATAAAAAATTAGAGCAGAACCAAACTTTTGAGCACATTGATTTAGTAGATGTCCACAGAGTGTTCAACTCTACAAAATCAAAATATGTATTCTTCTCAGATGCACATGAGATGTTCTTTATAATCACATACTAGCTTATAGAACGTGCTTAAGTGAATGCAAAGGAATTGAAATTATTCCA